TTTATTTATTTTTATATTTCTTCTTTTCTTTTATTTTATTTTCCTTTAAATAAAAGATCTTCCACTTGACCCTCATCTCTTAAAATTTGCTACAGCTTGATAGTTTTTAGTAAATTTTATTACAATATATAGATGCTTATGCTTATATATAATTTATATTTTTTTTTATATACTAATTATGCTACTTTTGCTAAATCTACTCATTATACTACTTTTACTATATATTCTATATTTGATATATTTCTTATTATATAAAACAAATAATTATACAATTAATCCAATTTATACTCAATGCATTATTGATTAATTTTAAATTGCTATAATATCTAAACCAGAATATCTAACTATTAATAATTAAAATTACTAACAAAAATAATACAAAAATAACAGAAATAACAAATAAGTAATTATTTATATATATATATAATTTATTGTTAAAGTATTTTTTTATTATATCAATTAAATTTTTTTTTAAATATTAAGATAATTTTTTTGGTTTTTTGACTTTTATTAATAACTTTTTTGATAATATAATTCAATAAACTACTACAGAAGAGCATACAATTAAGTATACATATGGGGTGATATCAATAGAAATAGAACAAATTTATCTAATAAATTTGTCTCATTTCTATTGATGTCACCTCATATAACTTTTCTATATTACTTATTTAAAAAATCTGTTTAAAGATTCTTTATTAATTGTCATATTTAATACTTTTATTTGAGCATTTTACTTTAAACTCTCTAAACCTGTAATTTGTATTAACATTACTAAATTATACCTAAATATCCAAATCAACATCTTAACCTTAGGACTATTTTATCCTCAAGATAAAACTCTCAAAGCTTTCTATACTTATTTTACAATTAATCTAAGTATTACTATAACAAAACCAACACTTACAATCAGAATTATATTATTTAATTGCTATACTTTTGTAAAGTTTACATAAATCTTAGTATCTATTTTATAGTATAATTTCAAAAGTTTAGTATATCTTTATCTTTTTATTAGACTCTTAATCTAAATAGTCTGTATAAGACTATAACTAGTTTATTGATATATTAAATCAATCTGATATTCTTTTTCTCTAGTTTATTTCAATGGTCTGGTTAATAAAGACTTTCAACCTGAAAGTTTTTGCCTATTCAGATACTATGACTAAGTACTATAACCTTGGTATCTATTTTTTTGAGCTAGCCTTTACAGTAACACTATTGAAGATCTAATTATCTCTTTACTTAGATCTTCTTAAATAAATTTCTTGTTACCTAATTTCAACAGATTTATATAGACACAAGGATTTATCAAGTGTTTATACTGCCTGATTTGTTAGTTTGTATTTTTCTGTATAACTAATTACACAAATACCTTATAACCTGCCAGTCATGCTGGTATGATCATTATTACAGATATTCTAACCCAATCATTAATAACAATTGCTATAATACAAATATTATAAAAGTAATTATTTAAATTTTTATCATTAATAAGATTTGAACACCCAACCTGTCACTTGAGGGGTTGACAATTTGACCACTTTACTAGGTTGCCACACCTCTTCAATTAATATTTAATTATCTTACAATTAGTAAAGATATAATATTTATTGAATAATTAGCATTTAATATATATTGTTTTAGCTTATTAGAATTGAACTAATATATTTATAAATTTAAAAATTGCTAATTGTTCATAAACAAAAAAAGTTTTATAATTGTTGCATGAAATAACAAATTTTGCATCTTAATTTAAAAACAATAAAACTAATTATTTGTAACAATTTGGTAAAAATAACACTATTTTAGATGCTATAAATAGCTGAACACTCTGATCTAAATAAGAATAATAAAAGTATAAAAATTTTAGAATATGTTTGAATGTATCAAAAAAGTAGATGCAAAAGTATGTTTTGCTTCAGTAATACTATACTTATGTAATTTTTGATATGCAACTAAAAACTTTCAAATTGTCCTAACGTTACCAACCTAAAAAATTTCGCTGCTAGATTAGTGCTAGATTTTGCTATTAATTTAGGTTATAAAGAAATTTCCTAATATCAAAATTTAACAAGGATTAATGCATTTCTTCTGCGCAACACCTGAACTTGAAACGATTGGCCAGCGAAATTTTTTAGGTTGGTAACGCATAAAGCAGACATATAAAGTATAGTAATGCCGCTAAAACCTGGTAATGCGGATGTAATGATCATGTGCTAGGGCTCTATGTTCCAGAAATTCTGATATCACTAACCCTAAATGCACCAAAAAGAACCCTAATGCGTACATTGCTTTAACTATTTCCCCAGAAACTATATATTCGACCTGATCCGTTGGTTCAGGTCTGAGGAGCACTTTACAGTCTTTCAGTATATTATCGACATTGTATAGTCGTAATTAAACAGATGCTCAACAAAACTCACTATGTTTTAAATCAGCTATACTTATTTTTAGAGTTTGTCTAGAAAACTTTTATTGGTTTTTTCTTTTTTGAGAAACAATTAATTACAGCTGTTTTCATAAATTCTAGCACCGAAAAAATAATCGATAACCGAATCGATAGATTATAGGTTATTACAGAAACTTACCGATTTGATCAAGAAAATGTCTACCAACAAATTATTAAACATTAAAAAAATGGATTTTTAAATAAATACCCGATCACTATATCAAGATCACGGGTATTTAGCAAAAATATCCTGATCAGTATGTGTACAAGTGAAAACTTCGTTTCCGCTAATACCCAACTGATTAGGAATTTTTATTACGTATTTTTATCAAAAATCTGGGGTTTTTTTTTTAAAAAAAACGTTTTTTTATGAAGAGTCAACAATAAAACTGAATGCTAAAAATTAATAATAAATCTAATAAAACTACAATATATTACTTCAGCATAACTGTTGTCAAACTTGCCCGCTCGGCAAAGGTTTAGTAGAGATAGCAGAGGCGAGGCAGGAATTTTGAATAATTATATTATGATCAAACTCCTCAGTAGTAGACATCTTGACACAATACCAATTATAATTGTCAACATGTTGAAGTTCCCAATGAAGTTCCGGAATTGTGCGTTGAAGATGACAACCAATTTCCGTACCAAATCTATCTAAAAGAGTGTATCCAACAGATCCAAAAGGTTTTACAATATTATTTATAACGTGAAATATTACTGCAGCATCGGTATCAGTTCCGTAAATTTTTACATGAGGTTGATGCTGGTTTCGTCGAAAGTCGATTTCAACTTTTGATTTAAGCTCTCCCAATACTTGATAAATTACTTCTTTAAGTGCAGCAACAAACGAATCGAGTCTTGCTGCTGCTGCTCGTTGAGTCAGCGAAGACCATATACTGTTTATTGGAAGTTGGAAATAATGCAATTCTTCTTCAAGTTCTTCACGAGTGATTTGATGACTCAGTATTTGTACTGCACCATTTGATCGTTGGGTAGGTAATCGTAAATATTGGCCATGTTCACGCCAAAAGATCTTGCCTGTTCGATAAAATTCCAATATATAATAAAAAGCATAGCCATTACGATCAATAAAATATTCATTGCCGTTAACTGGATGTACCAAAGCTTTGTTTCGCTCAGCAAACATTGTTCCAAGAAGTGTATTTGGATATGATGTCAAAGTGGATCGATATGTTTCGTACTGCATACAAAATTCACGTTACATTAATTAATATATAGAAAGATTGTTCCTATATAATTGATAGATAAATACTTTACCCTAATGCCGCCAACATTTAAAACAATCTGTTCCAGTGCTTCTCCGTTACAATTGTTTGCGCTTTGGTTATCTCTCATTTTAAAGAAATTTTATGGGAAAGGAGAACAACTATGGTTGAATTTTAGGTTTGTATGCACTTTATATTTAATGGATTACCAAAGCATGTGATTATGTTACAGTAACCCATTGTAAAGGTCACTTGAAGATTTATTTAGTAATATCAGGATATACGTACAGCATTCATGTGTTTATCTTGACAGCTCATATCGATATATAGCGATAGGGATTGGAAAACTGTTGCAATTTTACGTCTGATATTTTTAATGCTCGATACAAATTTAACAGTAAAATATGTATACTGGTGTGTTACAAAAAATGCATTTACAGTAATATTAGCAACTTACCATTGCGATTTTGAATTTCACGTGGCAAAACTTGCTTATAGAAATTACGCAAATTATCGTTATGCAAAATTACAATTTTGTAAGTTACGTAACAGCAAGGTATCGTGATAATTACACAATCCGGTTCTCTGAATTTATTGTCCGGAGCGTACTCTTTCTTTTGATCGATACTGTCACGTGCATTCTGTCTGTTCGCTTCCGCATCCCTGATTGGCTGTACATCACGAGCTTATTATATCGAGTTAA